TAAGAGCGATTTGCATTTCTGGTCTGCTCATTTGAAGATTGCCTTCGGATAATTTGAGAATACGATGCCCCTCTAGCTTTTTCCGCTATTCTGCGATTTTGGAACTTGACCGCCAATTCGAAGAGCTCCTGCAATGTGCTTGGGTTTCTAATTTCGAAGTAGTCTTGAACAGCAGGTAACAATCTTGGTAAGATTATTTCAATAATCTCCGCGTCGGGTTTCTTCCCATACAGCATATCCGTCAGCTTAATTTTTCGCAGAATAAAGTCCGTCAACTCTTCTATATTCCGTTGATAAAAACTATATAGTTCGGCTTCTAGCTGTGCTCGATCTTTCACTATGGGGAAGGCCTTTAATAATGATTTTTTGAAATTTTCAAATGTTTATGTTTGGCCTCCGAATTCCCCTAATAAAAATTTGCCTATATTCTTCCACCATAGCGAGGCCTGTCCTCTTAGTGCAGATGTGGCAATGGCAACTTTTTGTCTTTCAGGCACAGGGTATAGCTGGAAATGATTTTCGAGGCCTTCTAAAAATATCGCCACCGAATTTTTTCCGTCGAAATTGACGTTTGGCTTGATTGATGCTCTCATCGTCTGGACCAGGTATCCAAATCCTTCTAATTGGTTCGCCATTTCTTGTTGTTGGAGTTGTACAGTAGCTTCCATCCAGTTTTCGGCCATTTCAGTTCGTAAAGTGTTCGGGTGCCAATGTGATGTTGAGAGGCCCCAACTTGTCCGCAACAGTAGTAGTGACTGCTATGAACTGGAAATTACACAAACTCGTAAGGGTTTAATCCCTTTTATTTCACTTTAGAAATTACAGTTGCGTTCACTTGACGCTCACAAACTACGCCGACCCGGCGGTGTAACAAAAATAGAAAAGTACAACTAAAAATAAATAACAGGATGAATAAATAACGAGGTCACTACCTACGAGGCTCTATAAACGTAACTATCTTAACCGCGTTCTAAGATACAGCTGAGATTCAGCAAACTTTCTGATTAAGAAGTTGAAAGATCCAACTAACTGCTGAAGTAGGTACACAGGCTGAAACGCGCAGTTCTTAAATTTCTACCAAGCAACCTTCACGCTCGCGATTCAAGAAGCACACTTACAAATCTCGTTTCCCTTCTATTTAACTCAAATTACTGCTGCTAAAAATTTGAATACTCTGCGCGTTCTACTACGATTTGAAGAAGTCCCAATCTTTATTTTATGCATAAAAACCCATTTTAGTAGATATATATCCAATCATAATGAAATACAGTAAATCCTTTGTACACAGATTTTAACCCGTGATCATGTACGACAAAATTACGAATAAGAGAAGACGCGCTGGGTATGTCATACCCAAAAGCAATTAACACGTTTTAAATTACTTTAATGATATAAATATGAGTATAAATGTGGATTAACATAAAAAATAATGAACTTTAGAATATTTTTAAAGAATATAGTAAATGAAGTACTTAACTTACAATTATTTTGCACATCTCTGACAGCTTTAACACATCTGCTCCATACAAGTACTGATATTACATTTCTAGCACAGAAACCGTGTTTTTCTGTTCTTGTTTTTAGGGCACTCAGTGCATCTTCTTTAAATATTTTTCATCTTTTTAGATGGTGGTTTCATGCTGCAATCTCATGAAATTATTTTTTCTTTTAGTTTCAAAGGGAGCATGATTAATTGCTGCCATTGATTTGAGTAATCTTGTACTAACTTCAGTCCTAATTATTTGAAAAAAGAATGCCTGTTTCTAAATGAGTTGGTGGTTCTTTTGTAGAAAGAAAGATTATTCGGGCATTAATTGCTACAACATTTAAAATCGAGATGAAAATTACCATAGGTTACGGTTTTGATACTCTAGCTGTAGAATATGCTGCTCCCATTTCATCTGCTCCTTTGGTTACATTATAAAATGAAATAATCTCAGGCTTTTTTAGTACTCCAGTGGGTTTAACAATTTTATTATCGTTGTGCAAAATTGATAGTAGGACAACACTTCTGTTTTTCTTTGGTGCATAAGAAACAATCGTTGTGTCTTTCTAAAAATCAAAAACTGAAGAATATACCTCCCGTTTCTTCGTTAGGAAATCCAGCAGAATTTCTCTCTTATTCTTTCTCACAGTTCCGACTATAGTTATTTTCTTCATTAGTAGGTTCTGCAATAGCTGGTATCTACAGTCAAATTCCGTCCAAAATCGTACAATGGTTCCATCAAAAATATTTGTACATTGAATTATTATTTCTGTCATGTCTTTGTCAATGAGGAGATACCAGGAATCCAATGGTGTTGATGCATCTTTCGAATAACCAGTATTTCCTAGAATTTTAAAGATAATGTTTTTAGAACTAGTCCTAACATTCGTTCGGAGTTTCTTTTTCTTCCATATCACACCATTTTTACCAACATGATTTTCATCATTTGATTGATTTTCCAATTTACTATCTAATTCAGTGTCTGTAACACTGTCTGTTGATGAATTATAATTGCTGTTGTATTCTTCATCTATTAATTCTTCCTCCACTTCACTAAACGATCATCATCTGTTGAAGTGGTTTCTAGCATATTTTTCAACCTTTCCATTTCTTTATCATAACTTAGATGCCATGCCATGCTGACTGTCCCAGAAAGTGAGCATGAAAATCTGAGAGCCGCAAGAAGGCAAACGGATGTCACATACCCAGATGGTACAATTTCTAAAAATGTGTTCAAAGAATCACTCCATTTATTTCCCAGCTTCAAAAATGTCACCTTGAATTCAGCTACAAAAGGTTTCACCCATTTCCAAGAAAAGCGGTTTGGAGATAAGAGACAAAGAACATGCCCCTGAGTATAAGATACCCGGCGTGCGTGCTCGCGGGTTAAAAGTAAGACATAGATATCTGAGAAGTGTAGTGGGGTTAGCAGAGCAGCACTTAGGGAAAGGAATAGAATGATGTAGTTTTTTATGCCAAGAGTATTTATACTAAGTGCATGCAGAAAGTACTCTAAGCTATGATTAGTTAATCTGAGGTTATTATATATCATAGAAGGATCTCGAATTCAGGAGAACAAATGAATTTAAGGAAAGAGCACCAAATCTAGAATCGTTAATGTTGAGGTCGCCAAATTATTTTTACAGCAGCTATTGTGTTTTCTTATATATTAACATATATATATGTGTAATGATTTTTTAAAAATGCATAGATGAAGACCTTTACTGTGATGATAAAATTTTGTTTGGCAGTCGAAAACTTTTGAAAAATCACGAAAACACTTGATAATCCAGATGTACCTTTATTACTTGTTGCACCTCACAATGGGGGCCAATTTGCACCCCATAATTTTGATGATTGCGCATTACATTTTTAACCAAAGCAGAAAAGCAAAAGATGTCCTTAAGCAAGCGTAGGCAGAGAAAGAGAGAGGGAGTAGGATTGCCATAATATTTATAGTAAAATATGTCGTTAATGTGATTGGCTAAAATTTATAGGCAATGCAGTAGTTTCAAGACGGCATGATGCGGAATACGTTTTCAGATACGACACAGTTTAGAGAAAGCTATTACTAGAGACAAAGTACCCAAATTAAAAATGAGCAATTAAGAGACATTTTAAATTATAATTTTGATTTGCATTATTTTTAATCTTGATTATTCCCCCTTAAAGAAAAAAAGGCTCGTCTACAGAAAAGCTTTTTTAGAAGAAAGCATTAAAATAGTAGCGAAACAAAGGAAATACAATTTTAAAAAAAATAATAATCATAAAAATTTGATCTAAATGTTTTAAAATAACAAAATCTTGTAGACATAATTTTTAACAAGAAATGCAAACTAAAATTGCTACAGAAATTCTGAAAGTCTGCAAGCTCATTTTTCTGTAAACATACTGCAAAGAAAGTCCTAATTTTTTCAAGAAATAACCGTAAGAGTTCACAGTTCTTGGAATATTTACTTGAGTATCACTCATATTTTGCAATCCTTGGCTTGAAAATCTTCAGTAAAAATTGTTGTTGTCAAAATAAAACCAAAATTTTAACTAAACTAACTAAGATTAAGCAAACTTCAGAATTTTACCTGCTTAGGGAAGGTCCTTTTTTTAGAACTATTCAAATATAAAAAATTTAGAATACATCTGTAAATTGCATTACAAAATTACACGTAATTTAAAAATACTATAATGTAATTAATTCATCATTTGAAATATTTTGTTGAAATTATGCTTTTTACTATTATTAGACATATTCTTTACAAAATCTGAAGACCCCACAGCTTTCTCTAAATACTAACATATCCATCATATTGGCATATCCAATTGAGCAAACTGGTGTATTTATTCTGCATCAGTAGCCAAAAGAATGCCAAACTGGCAGTTACTGCATAAAAGGCCTCCGTTCCTTGGATAGAGGCAACTGGCCTTTTTTAATTGTCAAAATATCGGTCAATATCCTTCAAGCCACTCAGCCATCTACGCAATATTGAAAGTTCTTAAAAGTTCCAGTGTCTGCATCTACACATTTTTTTAAAAATCATTACATATATATATATGACATATTTTGCACCAATATTTACATTTGCCGCCAGGTGATATTACATTAACCAGAAAGTTTCAAGGTTTCTAAAATATATTGGAACTTTGCATGAAGAAAAATAAAGGAGAAAAAGCATTATTGTTATTTGAACCCTAAAATTATGACATGTGAGGATGAAATGCCATCAACTGCACCAGCCAGCTGTTAAAATTCTTTATATGATATGTTGAAATTTTAAAACCTCGTAGCTGCCTTAAAAGTTTTCATTCAGAAACATTATTTATGTATTTAAACATCCTTGGTAAAGGCATGACGAATTAATAAGTGAGGTTTATTGAGTTAACTAAACTTTAATTCATTAAATGCATAAATTCTTCTCCTCATGAGAATTACCTAATAACAAAAATAACAAATAAATAATCAAATATATCTTCTCTTTCCCTTCCAATTTACATAAACTTCTTTTGTCATTATATTTAGCTGAGACGTACTCGACTTGATGGGGCTTGTGCAGAGCACTCCACAACTGTTCCAACTTTATCAATAAATTTAACTAAGGTATGTATTTATGAGGTTTTTCCTTTTTCTTTTGTATGTATATATAGTCCATGTATTAAAACTGAATATTCTGTTAATACAGTGAACCATTTATATCATGACCATCCACATATCTAGATGATTTTGGTCTTTTGTGGAAGTGATTCTCTAAGGTGTTGATCAGTATGTGTATTCATTTATGGGTACTTATGTATTAATGCAACCACCTTGGTGCAGTATGATGATTTTTTGCAGATGATAAAATAAAAGTTACTTTCAAATGAAAATTTGAATTATTAAATCAGGATTATGTGCTACATTAAAAAAAAATAAAGCATTTGCATTCTTCTTCAAATCTTTCTGCAATTTTATTGTGCTGTTTTTTGGTAAAAATATATTTCAGGAGACCCGCTTGGTAAAAATTGGCAATTTTTTGGCACCATACTTTCTAAAATTATCTGAACTGGATTCTGTATATTGCCATCGCCACATAAATTCACAAAAATAAGAGTAAATAATATCCTCATTACTTCTAAACTGTCTGTGGCATTTCTTGCATGAACCTTTCTTGTGACGTACTCATTCAAAGCCATCTGAACGATCTCTACATTCGACCATTTCCTTTGTACAAATAGAACACTTATAATGACTACTAAGTAAACCTTCATTTACACACCAGTCAATTAATTCTTTTTTTCCCTTTCATTCCAAATCATACAGAAACTTCAGATTAATCTTATCACATACAGTCATTTTACAGTTTAAAGCATAAAATAAGCAATGTACTTCCTAACCAACATCCAACATTTAAATAAAACCTTACTAATATTTTCCCATTAGTCAATTCACCACAATCACGCAACCAATCGCATCATAATAGGGTTTCCTTAACATTAAACTACTCAGGTTACCATAAATGAAACAACAACCTGGCAGTAAAAGAAACAATAACTTGGCGATATTCCAAGAGGCACAATAATGACTAACCTGTTTTTCTTTTGAAGAACACAGTAATCTATTTTCACTTATATCATCATAAAATTGCGGACACTCGGCTGCACGCTCGGCAGCATCGGCTATCTAGGAAACGCATTTCCTTGTTGTTCTCTTTAACCCATTAAAGAGCCTGCCTCTCGGAACAAAATGCTTTGAAAATGTCCGTGTTGTCAGTTAACAAACCCCTCCAAAAAAAAATCGCTTTCATTTTCTGAAATCTCTCTAAGATGGCCCAGCCTAGGGCAGTATGTTTGCTTCTAATTAGTGTGATGGATAAGCCATAAAATTGCCTCCCCACTATTGAATGGCAAAGAAGTACTTGTTGCGTTAGTTTCGTCTCTCCTCTTTCTTTGTTCTTGTAGCTTGTAGACTTGTTTCTTTTAATATGTGATGTCCGAATTTTCCGAAATCTTTTTAGAATTTTAGCTTCCAAGCTTCTAAATTTTTAATTATTCGACATGTTCCAAGCTTCTAAATTTTTAATTATTCGATAAGATCATTATTTATTTTGCTAAACATTTCTTTTACTATTTACTTATCTATTTTATTTAGTTTTAGTAGGCCAATTCATTTGGGGAAATTAAATTTTAATCCATTTTTTTACTGACGCAATTTTCTTCATATAAGTCCATATATATTTAACATAAGAGTACAATATTTATCAGGAATTTTTGGAACATTTGGCATATGTATGTATATTTTAGCGTTGAATTTTTTCCACAAGTTGTTCGTTAAAAGTCGAGCTCATCCTCGTAAACGCTTGATCTTTTCAGCATGGACTTGGCAAGCAATAATCTTCCTAATGTTTTTTGGGATTTTATAGCAATTTCTAGAATTTTGGTGGTTTTCTACAAATATTTTGGTAGCTACTAATGTTCAATTTAAAACCAAAAATGTATTCCTTCATTGATTTGAGAGATCGCATCTCAACTTGAAATGGAAGTTTAAATGAATTTGATACAATCTTACCACAGACTAGAAAGAATTATTTCTCTGTGTTGATGGTGTTATGTAGCGAATTTCAATTATGTGTTTTAAGTTATTATTATTCTAATATTTTTATTTGTATTCATGTGTATTTTAATCTGGAAAAAAAGTATTCTTAAGCTCTTAAGGTTTTATTTAACTCGTTATTCTTGAGTAGGAATTGTAACAAAGGCGAAAGACGGTTGCAAGGAAACACATCTGGTTGATTGGTTTATGGCCTTTTTATTAACATGGAGGCAGTAGGGTCCTTTTAACTCATGGCGTGTGAAACGGAAATTGTCTTCCTGTCGCTTTGTAAAGTTTGCAGTTTTGCGTACTTCAAGACAGTGGGGGTTAGGTAATTAGATGCTCGTAAAGCTTAGTTTCGCTTGTTAGTTGGGGGGGTCTATTTTTTTCTCACGTTGTGAGTACAGATGTTTTCGGATTGCATTGTCAGATTTTCTGGTGTTTGATTCGTCATGGGTGTGTCATTTTCTCAATTTAGATAACGTAAAATTCTGGGATTGGTTAAATTTAATTAGTGTGCTCATGATTTTCACCAGTTTATTTCTCAATTTGATTTTAGGGTTAATCCGGAATAAACACAACGCAAATTAGAATAGGTTATTGATACTAGTATGTTATGGTAGAAATGAGTATTTTTATTGTTGTGGTCAACTGGTAGGGTACCTTTCAGGCACTTTCAAAACGACACAACAAAATTTATGAAAATTTAAGGGGTGCTTTAATACCTTATTTCTTTATAACTTAAACTTAACTGACTGACTGGAGTGCTGGATAAATTAACAAAAAAAAAAAAAAAAACAAATATTAAATATCAAATAATTCACGTTCAAAATCTAATTCATAATATTCATATATCATTTCAACATTCTTATAAACATTCGTATAGTGGTAGTACAATTTAACTTTTAGGTTTGCGTTGTGAGTACCCTATGCCAAGGAAAAATCAATAACCCCAAATTCAATTAAACTCCATGTTTCTTAAAAGCCTTCTGGCTCAAACAAATGGAGGGACATGACAGACCACAGTAAAATATACACAACATAAATACACAAATACAATAAATTTTAAACACACATTTATTAAATTCTTGACTATTTTATGTAATTAAATAATGGGTAACTGATCAGTAATCCTACCACATATTTTTCTAAGCCAAAATAACACATAATACTACACCAAATTACAGCTTACATTAATTAAGATTAACATTATTTTTTTTCAAATTAAGAGTAGGTGTACAAAAATTTAATCCTCTTAAAATTGGCATTCACTTGAAATTATAAATAACTTCTCAATTTTACTAACGGTAATATTTAATTTATATAAGTAATAACAATATACAAGTAGATAAATCATTATTAACTGTTCTGCATTCGGGAACACTAAGAAAGAGAGAGAGAGAGAAAATATACTTAAAAATTTCACTCACAGATGGAAAACAGTTTTTCCTGATTATCAGGATCCTTAGTGTCCAATCCACATGGAAATGAGCCAAGCCCATTTTTCTTTCTGTGACAACCCTTTCTGAAGCGTCTAAAAATCATTAGGAATCACGAGTGGAAATTACAGTCTAATAATTCTTCAAACAGCCAGGAATCGCTTTATCTGTCCATTAGGTGGGAACCAGTAGTCCAATTCAGAAGGTTCTTTATTTCAATTCAATAACAGGTAGCTGAATATACACCAGTTTTTAGCACAAGTCTAATAATTCTTCAAACAGCCAGGAATCGCTTTATCTGTCCATTAGGTGGGAACCAGTAGTCCAATTCAGAAGGTTCTTTATTTCAATTCAATAACAGGTAGCTGAATATACACCAGTTTTTAGCACAATCACGTGCATCATCGAAGCGGCGAGGCAACATTTATGCTGAATGTTTCGGAAAAAGGCTCTTGGAGATTAACCGGCGATTCAGGTGAAGAGAGAAAATCTGTGCTAAATTTTCTTGGTAGATTTTTCTCTATACATCTCAATCAGCTCTCAGTAAAAATGCTCTTTGCAGCTCGCACACATTTCTTTAGACATCTCGCAGGAAAATGTTCCTTGCATCTCTCACACAAAACTTAACATCTCACAGAAAAGAAGAATCCACTAGAGCAAAGAGAAACGGTACCCAGTCCCTCTGGCTCAGGAAGCCCGCAGCAGAGCAAAGCGCCCCACGATCTTTCTTTCTCTTTCACATCGCGGCTGCCCGAAATAAATAAATAAATTAAATCTGAAAGCTTTCAAATTTTATTTATTTGTTTCTGTTATTAAATACATAGCATAATTAAAAAGCTGATGCCAGCAATTTTTGCAATTGCTGTGTGCATATTCTAAAAGTCTAACTTTAGCATGTTTACATTCAGTCTGTAAATTTAAAGTGAAATTAAAATGAATGCCATACTAGCAAAGATTTGCCTATCAGCGTGGTATGTAAAGTCCTACAGAGCATTTTGCGCTGTTATCCATATAAGATAACTCACTTACAACAGTTGCTACTACTAGCAAGGATATAGGGCTTGTGCTTATCATGTTAATTATATGCATTATTAATGTGAAAATAGCATCTTAACTGCATAAAGGAAAATAGAATCATGGCAGAACTGCTTTTGCCAAATCTCTTGTAACCTTGAGGAATGCACAGCTTTCATGACCATAAAACCTAGAATTAATGGAAATGTATTTTAGTCAGGTGAATCAATTTTCATCTTGCTTCTTATTGCAGGATATGTTTATCCATGCGAAACACTTCCTGAAACATTTTATACAAGCTATCCTCCTCCATCAATGAAACATAGTAACGAAACTACGTCAATGAAACATGGTCATAATTCTAACAAATTCTATTTTTATTCCTTGAAAGGAAAGGTAACTGACAGGATGTGGGAAACCATTTTTTACCAATTTAGCTGATTTTACGGCACAGGCAGTATTTCCAGAAGGAGATATCTTTTGAATTGTAATGCTTTATTTTATATGGAAGTATCCAATTATGGTTTTAGGAAGAGAAAGAGAAAATTACATTCTTTTTGGGCGGGGCAAACAGAATCGCTAGACTTGAACATTATACAGCTGCTATCATCTGTATTGGAAAACATTATAATATCTTTTTATCTGTCTTGAAGCACCTCAAGGAGCTGCAGGAGTTTCTGCACGAAAGCTGGTAAATCATTTTATGCATCTAATATTTGCATGCTATACCTAAGAGGACTGAGGTTGTTTTGAATACTGAAGATGACCTTGTGTCATGTATAATACCTTTTTTCTTAGGTGTTCATGTTTTTTGTGTCCAACCCTTGCATGCATTAAAATTACAAATGCAGAAAAAATTAAATAAACTGAATGAGGTTGATTTAATAGGTGTGTAGTGAATTACATATTATTTCTATAACAAAAAATTACATTCTTTCTAAAAGCTGTTATTCATTTGATTTCTGCCTAGTAAGGGAAAGTTAGAAGTTTTTATGCCACTTTGTAAATTATGGTAAAGGGTTCCCCCCCCCATCCATTTTATTAAATTTGCAGAGATATGTTTTGAGCATCATTCTTGTGATTTGCAGAATTTTGTCATCTTTAATGCTATTCTCAGGTTCCACCTAAAATTTTGTAATAATTGAGCTTCAAAAAAACTGTAAAACGTCCCATGATTATATTGTTAAGTATGATATTCAATTAACTGATTTCCACAATGTATAAGTATTGATTTTTTACTCAAAAACTACCATGTGTACTAACTATGGTGCTTAAGGCTATTGCTTTCAGTCAAATAACTTTTATTTTGGTGTATAAAAGAAATATATTTATTTAATTTACTGTTTTTGAAATTATTAATTAGATGTAATCTTTTCTTTGTGACAGTGCAATATTTTACTTGGTAATGCTATTCTGCAAGACCTAGCCATCTGGGAGCCTCGTACTTTTAAGGTAAAATTTAATAAATAAACAATATAAATCAAAATCAAAAACATTTTTTATGTATAATAGTTGTCTCAAGTAATGTTCTTTTTTAATTTCTTGAATTCAAGCAATAATTTTAATTTTCAATTTTTTTAAAATTTATATTTAAGTGATTACTAATAGCTGCTTATTCGTATATTTTATTGAGAAGAACTGAAAGCATTTATTCTTTTCATAACAAATTAAAGCTCTTAACTTAATGCAATGTTTTAGGATAAAACATACACAATATTTATGAGTTACACCATGGTATTTTAAATTAAATATTCATATTTTAAATATTACTTATGTAATATTAATTGGTTTACATATCATAAAAGATATGAGAGAAATTAGTTTGATCAAATTGTTAATTATAAACTTGTATTTAAAACCCACTTCATTTCCTTATATTATGAGCATATTGTTTCCTATTTTATAAGCTATTATTTGTAACTAAAAATTACACTTAGCTGAGTTTATGAGATTTTAACAAAATTTCTGATTGAATGCCGCAATTGGATAAATATTGTCTCTAAAATGTGAACCACCGATAATTTATTTTTACTTTTCCTTCTTAGTGCTTAACAGAAGTTGCTCAAATGAAGGCAAAATTAGAAGCACCCGAGGAATTGAGTGATCGACTGAAAACTCCAGAAGGAGTGATTACAAGGGGAATGTTATAGTTGAATAACAGCTGTACAAATCTGGGTATGTTTCCTTACAATTTCAGAGTGCTGTATTCAATATAATATTAAATTATTTTGCAACATTTATCAATATTCATTACTTTAATTTGTTATAGATTTAAAATATGGGCTAATCTTTAGAATATGGTAACAGGTAGTTTGGCAACATTTTGGTAAGGTGATAAAGGTACTTTAGCAATAATCTGAGAAGCACACAGTTGGAATCACAGATTATTTTGTCTCAGAGAAATGATAGATCATGAGACATGTAATGTGACATTTTCTGGAAAATTCCAATAGGGATTTTAGCTAATAAGCACTTAGAAGCAATATCGCTGCTAAAGTGCAGAATCGCCTACTTATTTGTTTGGTGCTTTTTACAGGAGTAAGAAGAATTTTTGGATTTTTGTCAATTTTGTCAATTTGACTGAGAAATGTTTCTTTGACTTAGAAGTGAAAATAGGTCGATGTGTACATGGATAAAGTCAAGAGTGTGCGCAATGGCCATTTTTGTGCAATTCTGGGATGTTTTTTTTTAAGTGAAAATAGGTCGACGTGTACATGGGTACCGTGTATATGCAATTCTTTAAAAACGCGGCAAGCTGTGGGCGATTCTACACTTTCTCCCAATTTCGCACCTAATCTTCGTCATGCTTAAGCACTTTTCTTCCATAAAAGTTCTAGTATAAGAGTAATTCGGCTAGCAGATTGTTCGAAAAAAAATGTTGAGTAAAAAAAAAAAAAAACATCATGCCGCCTTTACTTTGTGAAAACAAAATGGCGTCCAAAAAAAAAAAAAAAACTAGCAGGTTGCTGTATCAGGGTTGGTCACCAAAAAATCACCAAGTTACCATAATGTAAAGATTCACCAAAATATGTTTAACTATTTTCACTTTAAGAATGTAGCAAATACAACCGATTGGTGATAATAATCTTGTAATTATCTAGCAGTATTTAAGTATATTTGGAAAATTCTTTTAGAATCAAGTAAGATTTCATCAGTTTTACTATTTTCAGTTGTTCAATAGCTTAATGGACAGTTACAAAAACTCTTTTTTTTTAATAGTAAAATGGTTTTTTTTTACTTCTTTACTGAAAAAAAAAAAAAAAAAAATAAGCATTTTGAGTAATAATAAATAATAAATGAAAATTCTTATAGTTTATTTATATAATATATTAACATAGTAAGATAACTATATGTTATACTATCTATTATGAGTCTGCTCTGTTTCAGTGTGTATGAACACACCTACTTTTTTCTATTTATTATCATCATGGTATGCAAAATCGTTGGAAGAGGATGTTTTTTTCTTCACAGATTTGCAAGTTGGGTGTCAGATGATAATTCAGAACGATCTGTCTTACATGATATATCATTATCTGTCTTAAGTGAATATCTGATACTGTTTTCTAGTTTAGTTTGGAAATAAGCATTATTACTTCAGATTTGAACACATATCTGTGGGAAATAGATGTTAATTTTGCATTCCTTAAGAGTGTATTTTATATTTGTTTCTTTTCATGTGTCTGAAAATGGATGTTTGCCCCTGAAAGAGAGTAAAAGTTATTGCATTTAATAGTCACATATCTTTATAAGAAATATTGTTCTGTTGTGTTGAAAAATAGATTATTGAATTCTGAGCTAATGCAATAAAACTGGACATTGTCTTCGAAAAAGAAAGAAAAATGTAGGAAGGGAGAGGAGAACAGCTCTAAAGATTGATATGGTTCTTTCACTGAAATAAGAGTTATTAATTAAACATAAACCCTCAGAAACGTTTATTGGCTGCTGGTATTGATAAAGAGTTTTAACTGTATGGAATAGACTGCCAATTCTGCCAGTCAGAAGGCAAGAAAGCCAGTGGCTGTACAATTTTGAATAAATTGATTGAAGCAAAAACAGATTAACATAGGCTAAAAAATGTTAAATCTTGGATAACAGATGGATTAGAGTGATTTCAACAGAGAGATTTATTTATTATTTATTTAAAATTATACACTAACTAGTATTAGGGAACAATGAAAAGTAATATACCCAACAACTCACCAAACTTACAGTACTTTCAAAAAAAGTTTTTTTTTTGGGGGGGGGGGTCAACAGATAAACTTAGTCCCTATTGGGAAATTAGAATATATAAAAAAAAAAAAGAATTTACTATAAAAATTTAATTGTAGAACTTTGCCAGCAGACATTCAGCATGAGTTGGTTCTATGCCAAATTTAACCTCTCAAAAAATCATATCGGAAACAATGATGACGGGAGTTCTTCCCTTCAACCTATTAAAATATTGTAAATATTTAAACAACGAACTCTTCAACAAACAGCATATATATATATGTGTGTGTGTGTGTGTAATGTTTATGGGTAGTTAAAATATATAATTAATGTATCGTCATCGCCATCTACTCTTACTAATTATTCTTGCTCTACATTCCTTTCAAAATTTGTCATCTTTGACACACACACATATATTCAATAACAAAATATGATAGCTTTTTCAAAAAATAATTGACGAACCTCAAAATAACATTCTAATTTGTAACTGCCCCTAAATCATCTCTTCTCACAGGTTTCCAGACTTTTCATCTTATGTAACGTTTTAATGCATGCCTCTCGTCCAATTAAATTAATCTAAAACCAAAACTGTCAACTGAAACTTCAGCCTTCTTCTACGAAAGTACTATAACCTTTCCTTTTTCCGCGTTAGTTCTCCTGCTGGTAGACGCTTTTGCTGCCGTTACTTGCTTAGTGACGTCGTACTTCAATGGGAGTTATTCTATTCACATATTATTAAGAAGTATCTTATCTGAAAAAGGATTTTTTGATATGCATGGAAAATAAAGTTGTGATTTTTCAAGATAGTTGTGCTAAATTGCTTCATCCTTTCCACCTTCCTCTGCCACCTTCAGCCACTACGGTCTTCGGGTCATTACAAGTATCGTAAGCTGTTGGAGGTCCAATGTTTCATCTACGATTTGAATTCATACATATTTATAAATCGACAGGATTAACCTGGTGCAAGTTTTCTCGAATGGATTTCGAACTCTGCTGCCTTAAACTACCAGTGAATCATCAAATTCGTTTCCGGTGTGTGATTTAACGCATATTCAAAAAGTGCTTTGACAATCATTGAGTATCTGTAACTTCAGAAATCGAAAAGTGTTCGGAATCAAGGTCAGTGTCGCCAACGCGTAGTGAAATATGGTTAATCGTTTCTTGCTCGCACTTCGAATATTCGCAATGTTTATGCATCTCCGATCATCGCGTAGAAAGTAAATTAAACATCCAAAGTGCTTTAAGAGCAGCAACCTCATGAGGGAAAGAGTGTTTTGTGCACATTTTGCGTTTTTCAGTGCTCTTATTCAAAGAATGGAATATTATCAAAAGTTATTAATGTGCTATTGAAGTGGTATTAAGTTCCAAAATGAGTTAATTACGTTTTAAAAAAAAAAAAGAAGAAAAAAAAAACTTTGTGTTTATAGGTTATTGTATTATGATTTATTTATGATAAAGTTTTGCTTAAGTCATTTTAAAATCAAGTTAATAATTCAAACATTTTATGATTTATTTAAAATGTAGTTTTGTATTTCTGAATTGGAAAAAGAAATTATTGAATTTGGTAAAAATTAGGAATGTTTTACTTAGGGAAGGTTTCTAATGCGAATAATATTTTGTACTATGTTAAGATTTTTTTTTTGAATTTTACTGTATTTAAGAATGAAATTATTGTTTGAAAATTTTAAATTCTAGGAATTTCTTTAATGTTTTTATGATAAACGTTGAAGGCTCTCACCTTATGAAAAAATACATTTTTTTAATCTAAGAATTTTTTTTTTCATAAAATGGAGTCTGTTTTTAATATTCGTATGGAATGACAGCAGTTCGTTAAAGGCCAGTTGCCTCTATAGAAGGAACGGAGTACTTTTCTACAGTAACTGCTAATTTGGCACATCATCTTCTGGCCACTGGTAAAGAATATTAAACACCAGTTTGCTCAACTGATAAACCAATATGATGGAAATGCTAGTATTTTGATAAAGTTGTGGAGTCTTCAAGTTTTGTAAAGAATAAGTAAATTTTAAAATGTCTTAATAATAGTGAAAAATTTGAAATTGTGTTTATGAATGGTGTTTTACAAAATTTTTATATTTTAAAATGCCTTCCTTGAAAAACATAATTAAATAATATGAAATTGGCATCTTAATTGTAATATAATAGAAATATTTTCATCAACAAAAATTTGAAAGAATTTTATTTGAACATTTAGTTTGTGTAAATATTTGAACTTTTACTGTGTGGAAATTTCAAGAACTTTACAAAATTTCATTGACATTCTTACTTCAGAACTCTAAAATATGCTATTGTTTAAAAATTATACAGTGCTAAGATTCATAATTTAATTCAAAATTTTATGACTTTCAATGAAATGTCAAAATATCGGTCAAAATTTTATGACAATAATTTTTTGTTTAAAAGTTAATATGTTTGTATTTTCAAAATTAATATCTTTCACATTTTGCTGCTCTAATGCTTGTTTTTCCACCCTGCTCACCCAACTTTTCTTTTGAAGGGGGGATATGTAAAATATAACAAAATATGATAGCTGTTTCAAAAAAAATAATTGACGAACCTCAAAATTAATATTCTAAATTTGGTAATCTGCCCCTAAATTCATCTCTTCTCACAGGTTCCAGACTTTGACAATAAGAAAAGTAAACAAAGGAAATTTGTTTTAATGCAAAATTTACCATCAGTTAGTGAACCTTTTGAAATATTATCTATTGATACTGTAGGTGGTTTAAATTATTATAATTCTACTAAAAAGTATATTCCATAATTATTGATCATGCAACTAGATATATATCTGGACTTTTTGCTTCTAAAAGTGTAACTACAGATACTTTATATCAAATGCTTAAAACAAATTTCCAAATTCAGGTCCCTAAAAAAGATTTTAAGTGATAGGAACGCTGCGTTTACATCTTCAAATTTAATTAAGCACTTTTTAAGGAATCATAATG